TCACTCAAGGCCCAGCAGGTACTAGGACCTTTTGTATCATCACCTTAGGCCTTCATCTTCTAATAAAACAAGACCCAGCATCTTCACCTGTTCTTCATGGGGTGTCCGTTCTGATTTGGGGTTTTGTGACCCTTGCGTTCCCTTCTCACTGTACCTGGCATACTCTGGCATGTGCCACTTCAGTCTCTCTAAAGAAGTGGCACCAAGAAGCACATAGAACTCAAAGGGTGACCTGACAAACTGGCACGGCAAAAGCTCACCGAGATTGGTTCCCATCGTTTATCTGGATAGTGTGCGGTCTTTGGGTGACGAAAGCACCCTAAAGATGAGTGGCTCAACCCCAGGCAGGGCCCCAGTACAGGCAGGCTTCTATAAAGATCAAGCAAGGAAACCATCTGGAGTTTGAAACCAACTGAAAAGACACGAGTTCAGTTTGCTTGCTTGCTTTTCGTTATCGGGATATTGTCGATGAAGCATGTGCCAGCGCTCACGTTGAGGCTCCGATCTTTTACATCAATTGCAGGACCCTCCATCGCAAGCTTCTGTGCAATTGACGTTTTAAACCTAAATGCAGGGCTTGGCTTTGATCGTTGTTAGAGTTCATGGCATCAGATTCTCTCCATCAAGTATTTTTTTATTTCCAGTCTGTAAAGATAGCTTTTAAGCACACATCTGCAGTGTGCTCAGTGTTTCTTCCGGCTATTTGTCCAATATACATTTCAAAACATGTTTCTCAAAACAATCAGAGAAGAAAAGTGAACGTGTTGCAGAAAAAGTATGTCTGTGGGGTTGCTGGCATGCAATTGTTTTCTTCCTTATACATGTAAGCTGCCAGGCGGTCCCTATGTACTGCTTTCCAACATGCCCTGGCTGCCTCTGAAGGATGAAAGGTCAACATTGACATTAGCCTTTGTTTACTTCATCCCCAATAATGAAACATCTTCTCGGTTCATTAATCACACAAAACCCAGAAGCTTTAACATCTGCACTTTGTCCAGTTCCATAATTTTGGCCAAAGATAAAAGGATTTCCTTTTTTGTCATTTTATATGCATTCATTAAGAAAAGGCTCCTCGTTAAGAATCAGTGCTTCATCACAGAAGTAGCACTGTAGCACAAAACTTCAAATTCTATTAATAATAAATTTCTAATGGCAAGCATTTCCTCGAAACACAGCATTCAAGTGCTTTCTGCTTGTATAAATAAATAATTATTTGCTATGTCGTGCAAAACTGCATTAACATCTGTTTGATTTTGCTCTATGAAAGTTACCATCAAAGTATTTTCAAAAACATTTAAGTCTAATATTCCAGTAACTTCTCTTCCTAAGAGTCTCAGTGCCGTTGGAATTTCACATAAGAAAGAGAAGTTGAGTGTGTTTGTTTTTCATTTACAGCCTAATAAAGTTGCAGCTGGTTCCTGTCAACCTTATGTTCAGAAAAATTACTTAAACTCACTCAAAGACACAAAGTCAACATGCATTTGACTTCTATGAAAATGCGAAACATCCCATCTGCCAAAGACAGACAACAAAGAGAAATGTATCTATTGTTGCACGTGACCTGCTGTCAAGTTTCTGGTGTTCAAAATAATGCACAGCCTAAGATCTTCCATAAAGTGAATCTAAGAAAAGCCATTTGTTTCAATGTTGTGCACAAAGATTCTGCCTGGGTCCAGAAGTTGCCATTCACTTTTTATGTGGATTATGCCTTATTAGGACAAAAAAACCTCTGAATTGCTGTCACTCCTAAAGCTAACAGCACATCTACATATGCAGGAGATAAAAAAGATGCAAGGAATTTGTTTTTTCACCCTAAACATAAAATTAACTAAAGGGAAGCTTAGAAAAAAGTAAGGAATGACGCCATCTTCCATATCCTGGCATCATTAATTCATTCGACATGCAGTGAGTCTTCCTAAGATTTATAATGCACTGTGTTTAGCATATTTAATAAGAGGAGGGCTACTTTCCAGGAGTTTATAATCCATTAGACCTGCGACATTTAGATTACTAATTACCTTTTCATTATTATTATTTAAAGAAGTGTTTCATGCATAATAAATCATTCCCAAGACCATATACTTTATCAAGGTCCATGCTCTTTGCGTCCTCTGGGGGCTGTGGGAAGCATGCATCGTCATTAGGGATTAGATTTTCTAACTTCTCTCTCATCAAAATCACAGGCCGCTGTTTAGAGAACCTAGTCAGGTCATGGGAACGAGATTCTTGGGGGCTGCCCCTGCCGTTGTTGCTCTGACACCAAGTTTTCCTGGTCGCATTGCCAGGAATTCCTGCCTCATCTCAGTACCAGGCAGCTTCTCCAGAGGATGAAGCGAAGGGTCAGAGCCCTCTGGCCAGCTCGTTCTGAAAGCAACAGGTATCCCGAGATGATAAAGCAAACCAGCCTTTGCGGACCGCAGGTCCCTGGCTTTCCATCTCTGGGGAGTAAGTGCAGCCCAAGTGAAAAGAGCCTTCATTCTCAGCGCAGGGAGGGCGCCCGCGCTTGCCTCTCGCCACGGAGAACCCCAAAGAGAGCACCCAGTGATCCGCAGTCCAGCCCCAAAGGCCCAG